TCTCTCGTCTCTCTCTCTCTTCTCATCTCTCTCTCTCTCTCTCTCTCTCTCTCTCTCTCTCTCTCTCTCTCTCTCTCTCTCTCTCTCTCTCTCTCTCTCTCTCTCTCTCTCTCTCTCTCTCTCTCTCTCTCTCTCTCTCTCTCTCTCTCTCTCTCTCTCTCTCTCTCTCTCTCTCTCTCTCTCTCTCTCTCTCTCTCTCTCTCTCTCTCTCTCTCTCTCTCTCTCTCTCTCTCTCTCTCTCTCTCTCTCTCTCTCTCTCTCTCTCTCTCTCTCTCTCTCTCTCTCTCTCTCTCTCTCTCTCTCTCTCTCTCTCTCTCTCTCTCTCTCTCTCTCTCTCTCTCTCTCTCTCTCTCTCTCTCTCTCTCTCTCTCTCTCTCTCTCTCTCTCTCTCTCTCTCTCTCTCTCTCTCTCTCTCTCTCTCTCTCTCTCTCTCTCTCTCTCTCTCTCTCTCTCTCTCTCTCTCTCTCTCTCTCTCTCTCTCTCTCTCTCTCTCTCTCTCTCTCTCTCTCTCTCTCTCTCTCTCTCTCTCTCTCTCTCTCTCTCTCTCTCTCTCTCTCTCTCTCTCTCTCTCTCTCTCTCTCTCTCTCTCTCTCTCTCTCTCTCTCTCTCTCTCTCTCTCTCTCTCCTCTCTCTCTCTCTCCTCCTTCTCTCTCTCTCTCTCTCTCTCTCTCTCTCTCTCTTCTCTCTCCTCTCTCTCTCTCTCTCTCTCCTCTCTCTCTCTCTCTCTCTCTCTCTCTCTCTCTCTTCTCTCTCTCTCTCTCTCTCTCTCCTCTCTCTCTCTCTCTCTCTCTCTCTCCTCTCTCTCTCTCTCTCTCCTCTCTCTCTCTCTCTCTCTCTCTCTCTCTCTCTCTCTCACTCTCTCTCTCTCTCTCTCTCTCTCTTCTCTCTCTCTCTCTCTCTCTCTCTCTCTCGCTCTCTCTCTCTCTCTCTCTCTCTCCTCTCTCTCTCTCTCTCTCTCTCTCTCTCTCTCTCTCTCTCTCTCTCTCTCTCCTCTCTCTCTCTCTCTCTCTCTCTCTCTCTCTCTCTCTCTCTCTCTCTCTCTCTCTCTCTCTCTCTCTCTCTCTCTCTCTCTCTCTCTCTCTCTCTCTCTCTCTCTCTCTCTCTCTCTCTCTCTCTCTCTCTCTCTCTCTCTCTCTCTCTCTCTCTCTCTCTCTCTCTCTCTCTCTCTCTCTCTCTCTCTCTCTCTCTCTCTCTCTCTCTCTCTCTCTCTCTCTCTCTCTCTCTCTCTCTCTCTCTCTCTCTCTCTCTCTCTCTCTCTCTCTCTCTCTCTCTCTCTCTCTCTCTCTCTCTCTCTCTCTCTCTCTCTCTCTCTCTCTCTCTCTCTCTCTCTCTCTCTCTCTCTCTCTCTCTCTCTCTCTCTCTCTCTCTCTCTCTCTCTCTCTCTCTCTCTCTCTCTCTCTCTCTCTCTCTCTCTCTCTCTCTCTCTCTCTCTCTCTCTCTCTCTCTCTCTCTCTCTCTCTCTCTCTCTCTCTCTCTCTCTCTCTCTCTCTCTCTCTCTCTCTCTCTCTCTCTCTCTCTCTCTCTCTCTCTCTCTCTCTCTCTCTCTCTCTCTCTCTCTCTCTCTCTCTCTCTCTCTCTCTCTCTCTCTCTCTCTCTCTCTCTCTCTCTCTCTCTCTCTCTCTCTCTCTCTCTCTCGCGCTTGATAGCATAACAACAACTCAGAATAACACCTGCCTTGTACCAGATGGCTGGTTGCGTGGCGTTACGGCAAGTGAAGGTGTTTGATCCCAGGAGATCCTGCCCATCGCGTCGCCTCGCCATGCCGTCATGTCACCACCAGACCATGCCAGGTGGGAGGCTGTATTCCCAACAGGTCGCGAACCCACTCTACCTGAAATGTAACAATCTGCAATCCCTTTGCACACGAAAGACTTGTTGGCGGTGCAATCAGAAAACAGCTGAGTGGTCAGCCCTGGTCTCCGTCAGATTCCCACCTCCATTCTCACCTATCTCCGATCCAGACTTGCATTGCATGTCACCCTCTCACACGCCCCCAAATACCCCGAATGATCCTACCAACCGCCATAATGCTTGTGTTTGAAATTGCACGTCTTGGCGCGAATCACTTTTATTGAAATGCTTTAGTGGTAGCATAGCATAGGCCTACTCGCTGTGCAATTGCGGCATTGACAACCATCTCGCGACTTCTCCGTGCCATGGCACGTGGCAGACGGTGGGCGACCGGAACATGTAGATGGCGGACACTGGCGGATCTGACGATGCAGCGCAGCCCACTCGAGACTATCTTCCTCGCGACCTTACTTCTCCTCGTCTCGCTCGCCCCTGTTCCGCACGCCGCAAGTGCCTCACGCGGCCCGTTCGTGCGATCTAGCGGTCGAGACGCCGACAGCTGGCAGCGCGTGTTTGACAGGAACGATCTCAGCGACAGGGATGCGCGTTTCGCCTCATTAGACGGATCGGATGTGACGAGAAGAAGCAGAGGAGGTGAAGTGATCACGCGCAGTGCGGATGCGGCGGAGACAGCCGAGGCGTGGAGGTCGCCGCAAGACCCGCTAACGACGACGTCGCACGCAAGCGAGCGGCGCGCGGACGTGCTGCTATCGCGGATGGATGCGAGGGAGCCGTCGCGGCGGCGCGGTCTGAGCATGTCGTTCCTGCCGCGGCACCACCCTCGGCGCGCGCCCGGCACGTGCTGGAGCCGAACCGAGGCGAAGATGTATTGGACGGTGCGCGGGGGACGTGGGGGGGACCGATGTACGATGGGACGCCGTGTGGGGGTAGTGGTTGGGTGAGAGCGAGGGGGGAAGATAGGGAACGAGGGAAAGTGGATTTCCGAGGGGTGAGGTGAAAGGGTGCGTTATGGTTTCGAGATTGGGGGGGAAAGGACGGGGCGGGTGGGGAAGAAAGGTGGGGGTAGCGGACATGTGGGCGTTGGAACGAAGGTGCGTGGGATCACGGCCGCTGACTTGCATCATGTGCCACGTGGCGCGCTGTGTGCTGTGCAGCAGAGGTGGGCTTTGCTGTGGCGACTGGGCGAGTGGAGGATAGCGAGTGAGGGCACATGGGGCGAACGATGTTTGTGCTTTGTCTGCCCAGGGAGGATACTGGCCTGCTGCTGCCCGTGGACAAGATAGTCATAGTTCGCTCACCCACTCTTCCAGCGTCGCGTATGCAGATAATGCACTTCGCCCGACCCTGCATGGCGGCCCTTCCTCTTTCTCTCGCTTGCCGCCTCCATCCTCCTCTCACTCGCCCTCACTATCTCCTCACACCAAAAAACCCTCTCGCTGCCTTGCGCCCACTCCAAATACCTACACCTCATCCTCCCCTCATCACCCTCTCACCACTCCTCTCCTTAATCCCTCTCTTCCCTCACACTCCATGCATCTCGCCCCTCCCCTCCCTCCCCCCCCCACCCCTCCCTCTCTCCCCTCGTCTCTGCACGCGATAACTCACCGTGCGCCAGTGCACGCGCACTTAGCACGGTCGCCTGTAACCACCACCCCAGCAAGCCACCTGAACGTCCACAACACCCCCCGTTCCGTGCCCACGCCCCACTCCTGCATTGCTTCGCCATGCGGTCCTCATCCCTCCCCACCTCCCCCTCTTCCGCCCTCCTCCCACTCCCCTCTCCCTTCCCCCCCTCCCCGCTCCCCTCTCCCGCCGCCCCTCTCGCCCTCGCCATGGTGTGGGCGGGCAGGCGGTGAAGACGCGCACGGAGCCAGCGTTCCTGGAGGCGCTGGTGGAGTACCGCAAGATGCATGCGCGCTGTGTCAACGGCGTCAAAGACTGGGAAGCCTTCTTCCGAGACAAGTTAGTTCTCCCCGCCCCGCCCTGCCCCGCCCCACCCCGCTCTCCCCCGCTCCGCCCACACATCTCACTTCGCCCACGCCACTCTCTCACCACACTGCTTACCACGTGTTCTGAGGGCGTTCGATACACGCTCTTGTTTTGCCCAAAATCCCACTCAACTGTTTCAAAGCGTAAGAAAGCCATGCTCGGCCATGCAAGCATATCTCACCCCACCACAGTAAATGAGCTCGTATCGAATGACACGCATTGAACTGAGCGCCTCGTTGCCTTGTGGCCGAATCCTCTCAACCTTGCTCACTGTCGCCGTCCATGCACTCCGCATTACCCGGCTGATATGATAAGCCCCGCCACTTTCTTGCGCTGCATCCATGCATCCATGCATCCATGCACTCCTCGTGCTCGCACCCTTGATGCCCTGTCGCATTCACGTGCACTGCATGCGAATCCCATTCCACGCCCATGCTTGCTCATCACAGCAGTGCCAGCACTGCTCTCCACCTCTCACCATCCAGCCCTTCAAACAACCTCCCTCAACCCTCACTCCTCTTACTACATCCATCCATCCATCCATCCATCCATCCATCCATCCCTCCCTCCCTCCCTCCATCCCTCCCTCCCCAGGGACAACGGGCAGCACCCCAATGCGGATGTGGACGGTTGCAAGTACCTCTTCTGGATGGCGCCCGGCTATGCGGGTGCGATTCTGAATCTGAATCTGATTTACAGAGCTTTCAACTGGCTATCTAAAAACACAGAGGCACTTTATTAACCAGGCTACGTTTCTCCATCATTATCGTGGTTCGTTCTGTTGTTTTTGACGCACATAACCACTTAAGTTGATGGAAGTAAGGCTTTTGCAGCCCGGCTATGCGGGTGAGCGGGCTATGCGGGCCACACACGGCCATGGCCTTGGCAGGTGCTTCCAGGCAGGTTAAGGGGGTTACGGCATGCTGTGCTACTATGTCTGTGTGCGTGTCAGTCAAGTCAGTAACGTGCCGCGAGTGGGGTTTCCATCATTGGTACATGTCGTAGTGTAGCGGATGCATGGTGCATGCATGTATGGGTGGTGGTGTGGGCTCGTGTGATAGTGCTGCCCACACATGGCCTTGTGCTCGTGCCAGTCACACACACCAGCGACCATGCATGTACAGAGTGCATGCATGGGAATGGACACGTCGGGTGTGCACACACAAACACATACTGACGTGCAGCATGCTGCAGCGCAGCTAGCATGAACATGGCATGGCATGATGAAAGGAACACCCACCACGGGTTTTGGTTGGCCAGGTGTGATGTGCAGAGGCTGGCTGATTGCCACTGCACATGAGTGCACCATGCACCCTGCCCCATGCACCATGCACCCTGCCCCATGCACCATGCACCATGCACCATGTACAATGGACCATGCACCATGCACTGTGCCCCATGCTCCATTCATCATGCCCCGTGCACCATACCCCGTGCACCATACCCCGTGCACCATACCCCGTGCACCATACCCCGTGCACCATACCCCGTGCACCATACCCCGTGCACCATACCCCGTGCACCATACCCCGTGCACCATGCCCCGTGCACCATGCCCCGTGCACCATGCCCCGTGCACCATGCCCCGTGCACCATGCCCCGTGCACCATGCCCCGTGCACCATGCCCCGTGCACCATGCCCCGTGCACCATGCCCCGTGCACCATGCCCCGTGCACCATGCCCCGTGCACCATGCCCCGTGCACCATGCCCCGTGCACCATGCCCCGTGCACCATGCCCCGTGCACCATGCCCCGTGCACCATGCCCCGTGCACCATGCCCCGTGCACCATGCCCCGTGCACCATGCCCCGTGCACCATGCCCCGTGCACCGTGCACCGTGCACCGTGCACCGTGCACCGTGCACCGTGCACCGTGCACCGTGCACCGTGCACCGTGCACCGTGCACCGTGCACCATGCACCGTGCACCGTGCACCGTGCACCATGCACCATGCACCGTGCACCGTGCACCATGCACCATGCACCGTGCACCATGCACCGTGCACCATGCACCGTGCACCATGCACCGTGCACCATGCACCGTGCACCATGCACCGTGCACCATGCACCGTGCACCATGCACCGTGCACCGTGCACCGTGCACCGTGCACCGTGCACCGTGCACCGTGCACCGTGCACCATGCACCGTGCACCATGCACCGTGCACCATGCACCGTGCACCATGCACCGTGCACCGTGCACCGTGCACCGTGCACCGTGCACCGTGCACCGTGCACCGTGCACCGTGCACCGTGCACCATGCACCGTGCACCGTGCACCGTGCACCGTGCACCGTGCACCATGCACCGTGCACCATGCACCGTGCACCATGCACCGTGCACCATGCACCGTGCACCGTGCACCGTGCACCGTGCACCGTGCCCCGTGCACCGTGCACCGTGCACCGTGCACCATGCCCCGTGCACCGTGCACCGTGCACCGTGCACCGTGCACCGTGCACCGTGCACCGTGCACCGTGCACCGTGCCCCGTGCACCGTGCACCGTGCACCGTGCACCATGCCCCGTGCACCGTGCACCGTGCACCGTGCACCGTGCACCATGCCCCGTGCACCGTGCACCGTGCACCGTGCACCGTGCACCGTGCACCGTGCACCGTGCACCGTGCACCGTGCACCGTGCACCATGCACCGTGCACCATGCACCGTGCACCATGCACCGTGCACCATGCACCGTGCACCGTGGCACCGTGCACCGTGCACCGTGCACCGTGCACCGTGCACCGTGCACCGTGCACCGTGCACCATGCACCGTGCACCGTGCACCGTGCACCGTGCACCGTGCACCGTGCACCATGCACCGTGCACCATGCACCGTGCACCATGCACCGTGCACCATGCACCGTGCACCGTGCACCGTGCACCGTGCACCGTGCCCCGTGCACCGTGCACCGTGCACCGTGCACCATGCCCCGTGCACCGTGCACCGTGCACCGTGCACCGTGCACCGTGCACCGTGCACCGTGCACCGTGCACCGTGCCCCGTGCACCGTGCACCGTGCACCGTGCACCATGCCCCGTGCACCGTGCACCGTGCACCGTGCACCGTGCACCATGCCCCGTGCACCGTGCACCGTGCACCATGCACCGTGCACCATGCACCGTGCACCGTGCACCGTGCACCGTGCACCATGCACCGTGCACCGTGCACCGTGCACCGTGCACCGTGCACCGTGCACCGTGCACCACGAGCCATGGAACCAGTTCATGCCTTTACACTGGTCTGCCTCGCTCAATCCATTCCCACCTTTTGCCGCGCATGCTCTTCAACCCCTTCTCTCCGCGTCCTCCCTGCTCTCCACTTCCCTTCCCGCCAGTCCCCTCCCCCCTTCCCTTCCCCCCCCCCCCACCTTCCCCAGGTCTGGGCAACAATTTGATGTCGCTCGTGTGCGTCGTGCCATCATCCTCGCCCCAAACCCTTCCCTACATGGGCTCCTCTTCTCCCTTTCCCGCTCCCTCCACCCTCCCATCCCCGTTTTCCTCCCCCTTTCCCCTCCTCCCCCTTTCCCCTCCTCCCCCCTTCCCCTCCTCCCCCTTTCCCCTCCTCCCCCGTGCAGGGCTGGGCAACAATCTGATGTCACTGATATCAGCCATGACGTACAGTCTGCTGACCAACCGTGCCATCATCCTTGCACCGGGCACGGACGTGGCGTCCTTCCTGTGCAACCCCTTTGACGACTCCAACTGGGCCATCCCCGCGCGCAACTACAAGTCAGTCACCCTTCACCCTTCAGCCCCGCGTGCCACTACAAGTCAGTCACCCTTCACCCTTCAGCCCCGCACGCCACTACAAGTCAGTCACCCTTCACCCTTCAGCCCCGCGCGCCACTACAAGTCAGTCACCCTTCACCCTTCAGCCTCGCCCGCCCATGCTTGCTGTGGTGGCAGCGGGGGGTGCGCGGGTGGGAACATGGGGGCCGGGAAGAAAGGGGTGCAGGCAGGGTGGGAGGAGTGGGGCTAGGAACAAGGGGGGAAGGGGAGAAACGAATGAAGGGCATTCTGTGATCAATCCGTGTGAAAGCGTGTCCCGTGTGAGCCACATGTGTACAGCGTACTGTTCTGTTGTGCACATGTGCCCGCCAACTGGATGTGCACATAAACAACTGTGTCACAGCCTGGTTTGCTCCGCCCGTGCCAAACCAGTTGAATCATCACAGATCGAAGCGAGCTTTTCTACTGTTTTGCTCCGACCGTGTCCATCCAGCCTGGCTTGGCTTCAGCACGGGCGAACCTGGCCGGCCTCTCGTGGCCGGATGGGGATCTGTGCACTCGTAGCCGTGTGCCTTGCGAGGCGTCAAGCGTTGTCGTGTCTGGAGTTCACACACATCTCCCACTTCTCCTTTCCTTCCTTGCTCATCCCCCCCACCCACCTGGGATCCACGTCTTTCCCAATGTTCAATCTCAACAAGCATCACAGCAAACAGGCAAAGACATAAAGTCAGGCCGGTCCAGGTTCGATTCCACTGTAGTGGTTCATTTCATCGATCGTTGGGTACCGTTATCATAAAACTCTCCACCCTTTTGTTTACCGTTGCGAATGCGTGTGGGTTTGTGTGTGTTTGCGCGCCCCTCCCCCACTCCCGCCCTCCCTTCCCCCTGGTGGCAGGCACGTGTACCTGATGTTTCAGAAGCAGCCGCGCGTGATGGAGTTTGCTCGCATGTTGGCCAACGGCACTCAGTGGAGCAAGAAGGCCGCCTTCGCTGACCTCCGCTTCTCGTACGCTCGCCATGTGCAGACATGCAGAAGACGTGCACACATGCAAACCTGCACACATGCAAACCTGCACACATGCAAACCTGCACACATGCAAACCTGCACACATGCAAACCTGCACACATGCAAACCTGCACACATGCAAACCTGCACACATGCAAACCTGCACACATGCAAACCTGCGCACATGCAAACCTGCGCACATGCAAACCTGCACACATGCAAACCTGCGCACATGCAAACCTGCGCACATGCAAACCTGCGCACATGCAAACCTGCGCACATGCAAACCTGCGCACATGCAAACCTGCGCACATGCAAACCTGCGCACATGCAAACCTGCGCACATGCAAACCTGCGCACATGCAAACCTGCGCACATGCAAACCTGCGCACATGCAAACCTGCGCACATGCAAACCTGCGCACATGCAAACTGCGCACATGCAAACCTGCGCACATGCAAACCTGCGCACATGCACTCATGCACTCATGCACTCATGCACTCATGCACTCGTGCACTCATGCACACATGTGTGTGGTGCATGTTTTTGCTCTCTCGATTCTTCTCCACTTTTCCACCCCTGCTGCTATGCTATGTCAGGAACATGTTAAGGTAAGCTTCCTAGCATGCGTGCCTAAAACTATGCTTTCACGAATTTCCGTCTGCCAATAGATAAAGAACATTGTGAGAAGGAATTTGCTTGGCAGGCAGGGGGAAGAGAGGTTGCATGGCAACGTGGTTGCATGGCAACGTGGTTGCATGGCAAGACAAGAGAGGGTAGATGGGCAGAGATAAGAACGGGTTCGACACTGCTGTCATGCTCTCAACACATCTCCCGCACTTCCTCCCTCCTCCCTTGCCCATGTGCCTGTGCCGCCCCAGCAAAACATTGCCTCTCACGGATGTGACAAGGATGGCACAGCGTGTGTGCTTGCACCGCCCTTGGCCATGTACCCCTCCCCATCCCCCTCCCCACCAACCTTTCAACCCCCCAGGTACGGCGAGGAGGACTGGAAGTTCTTTTGTCCAGGAGTACAGGTGGCGATAGAGGAGGCGCGGTTTGTGGCGTTCTACACGGACGAGTACACCGTGCCTGGCTTCTACCTGCTGCCCCAACTGCAGGTCACACATGCACCCGCACTCACACACATGTTTGCTCACACGGTGCCGTACCATGCCGTGGCATGCTGTGCCATGTAGTACCGTACCATGGCATGCCCTCCTCGTGTGCCATGAAGTCATGACATGCCCCGATGGCAACTTCCTTGTACTGTCCGCTCCTTCCGCCTTCCACATTTCTAGCTGCCCATGACCACCACTGCTGGTCCCATGTGGTCCTTCTTCGCTTCCCCGCTCTTTTGCCATTGTACTGTGTCAACCTTCCCCTATGCCCTTTCTCTCTTGCTTCACTCTTTGTCTCTCTGCCCTCACGCAACCCCCGACATCCTTCGCCTTACGCCCCTGCAGGCGCGGCTGCAGAAGTGGTTTCCGGACGGGAGGGTGTTTCTGCACATGGCACGAGCCACACTGCAGCCGGCCAACTACCTGTGGCAGCGCATCACACGCGTCTTCCACGCACACCTCAAGCACCACAACCGCCGAGTTGGCATCCAGGTGCATGCTCGCACACACATTCCGTGACGTGCCATGGCATGCTGTGCCGTGCCATGCTATCCACTCATCCTATCCATTCTGGTCATCACTCCATCTACTTGTTTGACCTCCATTTCCCATCTCCTCCAACCCCTTCCCGCTGCCCCTCCCTCACAGCCCCCTCCTCCTCGTCCCCAACCCCTTCCCTCCCACACTGTCCCATACATGCCCCATGGCCATGGCACAGGTGCGCACGTTCTACCGGAGGGACACGGACACCAACCCGCGCATCCTGGAGTGTGCTGTCAACGTGTCGGGCTACCTGCCACGCCTCTTCTCCTCTGACCAGTGGGACGCTCTCACTGCCAATGTGAGTAGCGCCGCCCATGTGGGCAGGCAACCAGGGCTTGTGTGACTGCTTGCACTGCACTCACACAAGCAGGCAGTGCGAGCGACAGCAGCTCGTGAAGAATGCTGGAGACATACCAACCAATTCCTTTGCTTCTGATTCTTTTGCCCAACCTGTGTCCCTCTCGTCCCACATCCCTGGGTTTAAGCCTGTGAGATCGGATTTCAAGTTTGCGTATGACTACTTTGTTTCCGGATGCTGCCCGAGTTGTGCGTAGTTCTTGAATAAACAATTTTTGTATGTTGTATAAATCTATTATGTCGAATACCAACTACCATGCGAGCAATGCCTTGTTTGTTTACAAGTCGCTACATCTATGCGAGCTATGCACAACTGCCCCATAAGCCGCATCCGCACTATCTCCTGCCTCCTTGCCTCCCATCATCCCCCCTCTCTTTCCCGTCTCATGCTCTCTCCACTCCCGTCCTCCCCTTCCCTCCCTCTCCACCCCCCCACACCCCCTCTCCTCCTCGCCCCCAGCCGGACAGTCGCATGGAGGCCATACTGCGCAACCCGTACCCGCGGTCGGTGGGCGTGCTGCTGACATCTCTGTCGCAGCACCACATGGACTACCTGCACGAGGCCTTCTCCACCCATGAGACCGTTGATGGCACCGTTGTCGCGCTGCACAGGTGCCACCGCATGCACATGCACATGCACATGCACATGCACATGAGTGATGCTGGGCAGAGCAGAGGGGGAGTGCGGTGGGGGGAGGGGGAAGTGCTGGTAGTGCACGGGCTCGCAGTGGTGGGGCACACCACACACCGTCCACCGGCTCTGCCCCGGAATTCCTAGTACATAGCTTGAGAGTGCGTGTGCAGAGACATCGTTGGAGGGCTTGAAGGGCGGAGGAAGTGCATGGCGGTGTGGGAATGGGAGGTGCAATGAGGGGAACTTTTGAGTGCGCATGAGGCGCCTCACATGGTGTGATGAGGGGCATTTTTTAGTACGCTTCTGCATGGCGTCACCATCGTGTCACACCACTGGTTCCAGCTCACACTGTGCACAGGCGGAACCCACACCGTGTAGTTCAGCATTTACATCTCCTATGGTGCACTTGTCCTCACAGAATCAGTATTTTCTCCTTGCCCTTGTATCTTGCTCTCGTCCCTGCCCCGTTTTTTTCTCTCCTCACTTGTGCACACCGGATCCCACCTGCACCCCTCGCATGCCCTGCTGCGCGGCTGCTGCTGCTCGTGTGCCCGCCCGCATCCCCGGCAGTGAAGGGCACGAGGGGTTGGAGAGAGCGAAGCTGAGGCAGCACGAGAAGGCCTTTCTTGAAATGTGGCTGCTCAGCTTCAGGTATGCGCGCACTCAGCTTTGTCATTCTGCATCCATTCAAATCCCTCATTTCTGTTATTATCTCGACCATCCTTCTCCGCATGCCATCTCTGCCTCGCTCGCTCTCCTCATCCTGCCACGTGCTGCCACCTGCTGTCAAACGCACCATCATGCTCAACGTCTGCCTCACGTCCACCTTTCCCTTCAACTGCCCCCGTTTCCCTTTTCCTGCCCCATCTCTCCCTTCTTCCCTCCTCCCATCCCCCCTCCTCTCCCCCCTCCCCTCCCCCTCCGCCCCTCCTCCTCTGCGCCTGCCAGCGACCAGCTGCTGGTATCAGACATGTCATCGTTTGGGTACATAGCGACTTTTGAGACGTCTCAGAAACCCGTTTCCCCTCCCCTATCCCCCCTCCCCCTCCCCCCCTCGCTTCCTTGAGCCCACCAGCGACCAGCTGCTGGTATCGGACATGTCATCGTTCGGGTACATAGCATCGGGGCTGTCAGGGCTGAACCCGTACTCGCTCAACATCGGCTTCCGCACGGCGGAGAACCTCAACTGGTACATCAACCGCCGCCCCGTGTGCGCGCGCTCCTCCTCCGAGCCCTGCTTCCTCACCCCGCCCGAGTTCCTCAAGGTCAGCGCACACACCGCACCACACACAGGCGCTGGTGAGGGGGACATATGGGGGCGTTGGGGGCTGTGTTGGGCTGGGCCTGCCATGTGGGCTAGCTGCTGAGCAGCGTTGCTGGAGCTGCTGGTGTGCTGCTGCCATGCCTGCTATGCCTTGCTCTGCTCGTATGTTTTTTACGCTCATTCATCTCCTCTGCTACCCTTGCTCCCCACGTCCTTGTTTTCAGTGTGATGGTTCTGAAGAGAAAAAGGAGCCTTTGGAGCTAAGTACAAGGATTAGAAAATGCTTGAACATTAATAGAGGAATTGAAGTGGATATTCCACTGTTTTAGACGTGAAAATAAATTTTCATGAGTAGAAATAAAGGTTACTAGGATGCAGCTAGTTGCAGTGCGCATCACCCATTCCAAACAGTAGTTACAACAACCGTACATGAATGTGTGACAACTACCTGCCTTGAAAAGTCAAGATATCAAACATGCACCTTATAATTACTCCAGGTGCAAAAAGAAATTGTTGGCAGACAGAACTACTCGCAGCAGTGGCTCTCCCCTTGGCGTGGTGAGAGTGTAGCAGCACTTAACGGCACGAGTGTGCGATGCATGTCCACGTGCTCAATGCCCGCATCCAGAAACACCTCCCCGGATGTCACCGTGTACCCCAGGCGCTCATAGAAGGGCACTGCCTCCACCTGCGCTCCCAGCGTGCTCCGCACACACCCCTGATTCGCTGCATGCTCCTGTGTGTGGGTTGCGGGTGCATTGGTGTGGGTGGAACATGTGAACCGAGTGGGTGCACGGGAGAGGTGGTGGGTCAGAGTGGAGAGGTTCCACAGTCAGTATGTGTGTGGCAGTTTTGGCACACAGCTCGTCCCAACAGGGTACAAGTCACACAATGGCAGTGTGCTCTGCAGCACTTGGTTATGTCCCCACCGGATGGCGAGATAAGTGACACAAACCCGAATTACTCCACATTATTGCAAAAGAACAACGGAACGTGCATTGTTTTTGTAGGTTGAAAATGCGGACAAATGTGTATATGAGTTGGAGAAGGCTGTGTTCCATGCAACTTGCTCACCGCACCATCTGGAAGTGGCATGCAATGCATGCACTCAGCAAGCATACAGCATGCGTTCCCAACAGCCAGCCACACATGCACCCCACGCCGCACCCAAGCCTGGCAGAAGCACGTACGTGAATGCAGCGCATGATGGCGCGCCCCACTCCCAGGCGGCGGAACTGACGCAGCGTGGCGATGCGCCCCACCTTGGCCGTGCCATCAGCCTTCACCACACACCGACCTGCCGCCGCATGGTGTTGGGTGATGGCATGGTGTTGGGTGATGGCATGGTGTTGGGTGATGGCATGGTGTTGGGCGATGGCATGGTGTTGGGTGATGGCATGGTGTTGGGCGATGGCATGGTGTTGGGCAATGGCATGGTGTTGGGTGATGGCATGGTGTTGGGTGATGGCATGGTGTTGGGTGATGGCATGGTGTTGGGTGATGGCATGGTGTTGGGTGATGGCATGGTGTTGGGTGATGGCATGGTGTTGGGTGATGGCATGGTGTTGGGTGATGGCATGGTGTTGGGCGATGGCATGGTGTTGGGTGATGGCATGGCGTTGGGTGATGGCATGGTGTTGGGCGATGGCATGGTGTTGGGTGATGGCATGGTGTTGGGCGATGGCATGGTGTTGGGCGATGGCATGGTGTTGGGTGATGGCATGGTGTTGAGCGATGGCATGGTGTTGGGTGATGGCATGGTGTTGGGTGATGGCATGGTGTTGGGCGATGGCATGGTGTTGGGTGATGGCATGGTGTTGGGTGATGGCATGGTGTTGGGCGATGGCATGGTGTTGGGTGATGGCATGGTGTTGGGCGATGGCATGGTGTTGGGTGATGGCATGGTGTTGGGTGATGGCATGGTGTTGGGCGATGGCATGGTGTTGGGTGATGGCATGGTGTTGGGTGATGGCATGGTGTTGGGTGATGGCATGGTGTTGGGTGATGGCATGGTGTTGGGCGATGGCATGGTGTTGGGTGATGGCATGGTGTTGGGTGATGGCATGGTGTTGGGTGATGGCATGGTGTTGGGTGATGGCATGGTGTTGGGCGATGGCATGGTGTTGGGTGATGGCATGGTGTTGGGTGATGGCATGGTGTTGGGTGATGGCATGGTGTTGGGTGATGGCATGGTGTTGGGTGATGGCATGGTGTTGGATGATGGCATGCCATAGGGTGCAGTGCTGCATGGCATCACAGTGTGGGGTCATGGCATGGCACCCTGTGCGACACTGAGCAGCAGGAAGGGGGAGGGAGTGGACATAACGGGCGCAGCATGCCATCCAGTGACCCAAAACCAACCTCATGCTACCTATGCCTGCACTGCTGCACTCCTGACCGTTCAGCCACCACAACCTTTCCCCTTTAACCCTCTTACATTAAACGACCCCCCCACTCGCAACAAATCTTTCCCACACCCCTCTCCTCCTTCCTCTCCCTCTCCCTATCCCTCTGCCCTTCCCCCTCCCCCTCCCCCTCCCCCTCCCACACCCGCTCCACCTCCCCCTCCCCCTCCCCCCACCGCACCTGCGCCAGCGGGCTGCCCCTGCAGGGTGGCGAGGAAGTGCAGCGCGGAGGGCGGCACGGCGGGCAGCGCGCCGAGCCCGTCGAGCGCGTCCACCTCCTCGTGCGGCGGCACGCGCTGCTCCTCCACAAACACCGCCACGCGCACCTGCATGTGCTGCTGCCACTGCGCGCACAGCAGCGCCGCGCAGCGGGAGGGGGAGACGTGGCGAGGTGGCAACGTGGGTACGCGGCAAGACCGAGGCGCGCAAGAACCCACTAATCGTTGGATCGGGCGGAAAGGTTGGGCTAGTGAGAGTATATGGCGAGAAGGGGGCAGGGACTGGGATGGTCGACACTCCTCGTGTGGCATGTCCCGATTGTGCGACAAACCCCAAGGGACTCACCGCAGTGGGCGTTGTGACTCGCTGCACGGCCACCGACTGGCACGCGTCGGCCGCCATGGCTGCTGTGAATGCGCTGCTCGACGCCCTGGTTGCTATGACATGGGCCTATGCTCTATATAATCTCCCCTTTCTACACACTGCGCTGCATCAATTTCCAAACTTGTACACACAATGAATACATTACCTTTTTTCCACAAAACCCACATGTTCTGTTAACAATAGAGACTTGCATGTGGATCAAGTTGATATAAAAGGTTACATGGCCATCTGAACTTGCGTACATTGCTAAATACTAGCTTCTAGTTTATCTGCTTTGTGCATTTTCTGGGCAATTTGATTCCCCACACATGGCTGCACAGCACAGCTTACCCATAATCACTTAAAAAAACGAATCTGGCAGGTCAAGCAGAGCGTCCTGTCCTGCAGGGCGCCCTTCCCCTCACTGCCTCATCAGTGAGCCAAAGCGTGCACCACGCACAGTGGCACAACATGATTCTGCCTTCAAAGCCCCCTTCTGTGCCCCCTTCAATGTGAGCATTGTTCTCGCACGGCTGCCATGGGAACTGGGTGGCGAGTGCGACCGGGCTGGCCGGCACGTGGTCAGGAGGAGGCAGAGAGGAAGGGCGGCAGCACATGCACGCCCTGGGCAAGTGGCAGCTTCACTGCCTGCACCACGGCTGGCAGAGGCATGCCCCTGCTCCCCGCCCCTTCACCCGCGCCCTCGCCCGCACCCTCTCCCGCCGCTCCACTGCCCCCACTGGCAGAGGCGTTGGCGGGAGGCGCAGGGCTGTAGAAGTGGGGGAAGTGACCCAGGTCCGGCACCGGCTCGTACACCAGACCTGATCCGAGCTGCAACCACGGAGGAGCGGACAGGGGATGCGGGCAAGGAAAGGAAGCAGCGTCACGAGAGCGATTGCACAGGGTGGTACATGAGAAGCGGGCGGGGCGGTGAAATGGAGAGAGTATAGCAAGCCCATTTCTCGGTCGCTACCGCACTGCCGTTACCTTGCCTTACCATCCGTGCCCCATTCTGCCACCCGCTCATTCACACCTGGCCCACAATGGCTCCCCGCTTCACTGCCCTTCACACTTCCAATGCGTTCTCTTCTCTCTCACTGCCGCGCGCACTTCCATATCTCCCCACTGCGCTACCCTTCGGTTCCCCCTTCCTCCCCGCGCCCTGCTGTCTCCCCCGCGGAATATCCTAGCGGAAATGGGTCGTCAAGCCTGACGACCCATTGACGACTTGACGACATGCTGCCCCGGGCAGAAAACAACTAAAACCCTATCGGATGGCATGCCATCCGAGGGAGGCATCAACCCTAAATCCATGCCTCCCTGTGTTTAGGGTTGATGCCTCCCTGACCGGATGCATGCCCGAATGGGTTTTATTTTTTTTGCCCGTGGGCAGCGAGCTCCCCCGGGCGGACTCGCTTGTCCGCTGTGATATATTCGGAGTTTGCGCTCACCGCATGTGCGCGGATCTGCAGCAGCATGAGGTCGTCCCGCCCCGGGAAGAACATCAGCAGTGTGCCGCCCACCTGCCACGCAAGCCAACACCACGGGCAGCAGCAGCATCGAGCATTGCAGTCTTGTAGAGTCGACGTGCGAATGGAAGCATGGCGGGGCGTCACTGTGGATGGACCTGGTCGGCCGTGCTGAGGTGGATGAAGCCGCTCTGCCTGTCGAAATCGCTACCCACGAAGCATCCAACGGCCTGCGCCTCGCGCCATTCTGCTTCTGGGCTGATCCGGTACACAAACTCGTGCTGAGGTGCCTCTGCCTGCTCCGCCATTCCTTCTGCGATATGCCTAAACACGCGAGGGATATAGCTCGGGCAAGGGTTGAGTGTGAGTGGGAAAACAGATCCACTTGTTCAGGATGCAGTTCCAAGTGAATTGATCCCTCGATCATTGGGTTGCATCCAGGGCTCAGGCTATCAGGGTAAATGCTCGTTCTTGACTGAAAATCCAAGGTATTTTGTAGCCGAACTCGGATTTTTACAGGGGATTTTTTCTGCCAGCCCTGACTGAATCCGAGCACTTCCAGGACTGACTCTGATGAATCCGAGTACTCCCTCGAAAGACTCGGAAGCACTTCCAAAATTTGAAAAAAAACAACACTGTTCATGTAAGTTACCCGTAAACTGGAAACAAATGAGTCCAATCATTCATAATCGTAGATAAGTACGACGAATGAAACAATTGGACAATGATTTACGCACTGATCACCAAACGTCAACCCTCACAAACACTGAGGATCGCACTCTACTACAAAAATGATGTTAAAATGCATCTATGGTGCAACATCATTTGATCTGGTACGGAAGGGGCGGGCAAAGCTACCCCACCGACAATCAAAATCGCAGTCATAGTTCATTCATTCTCGTTCGTTAGTTTGAAATGGTTTTAGAGCAGGTCCTTCGTTAGGACCGATTTTCTTGGGCCCACCACAGCGCTGCCCCACTAGCCGCCCTGCTGCCCCTAGCGACCTTCGTGCCGCTCTTGCTGCCCCGCGCGCCGCCCTCGTGCGGCAGCAGCAGCAGCGTCGGAGCGAGACCCAGTCGCCCCAGCAGCTTCGTGAGTGGTTGTTTCGGCGTGGGACGTCTGGGGGTAGTGATATCTGCCCGTATGTCATTCACACGGGTGACCGTGCTGGTCAGACATGCCGGAGGCTTCACACTCAGCACCGCTGCTTCTCCTGCCTCGACGACGCTTGGCGTGCTGAGTTTGGTGACGAGATCGAGCGCCCTCGCTGGGCAGATCTGCTTAGGTCTGGAGTTGCTATCTTTGACCTGGACTTTGATGTTATCCTTTCTGCTATGTATGCTTTGTCTGTTACTGCTCAGGGTGACTGTTACTGGTGTGTGCCACCTGACCCAGGTATAGCGGCTGCTGCTCTAGGTGCTAGTGAGTCTGGTACTCTCCCTGGTACTGCGCCTGCTGAGGCCTTGCACATCTTCATGCTGGACTCAGGTGCCTCACGCTGTTTCTTTCGTGACAGCACCACCCTCACTCCTCTCTCTGCTCCTGTCCCGGTCCGACTGGCTGACCCCTCCGGGGGCCCAATCGTTGCCCGCTCCACTGTTCTCCCGTGTCAGGCGGTTCCGTCCGGCTCACTGTCAGGTCTTCACCTCCCCTCGTTCTCTACGAACTTGGTGAGTACAGCTGCCCTCCAGGATTCGATGGTCACTACCACCACTCCTGGGGGTCAGCGGGTGTCGATCTGCACGTGTACACGGACGAGCCGTCACCTAGCCACGTTCACTAGTCGGCCAGGGTCGAGTATGTACACACTGGCTACCGAGTCTCCTCAGGTAGCTGCGTCTGCCCAGGTGTCTGCGTCAGGTCAGGTAGCACCCCCCTTGCTCGTGTCGCCTCCTGTCGCACCAGACTCTTCTCTGGCACCACCGCCTTGGTCACCCCTCTCTGCCACGCCTGCGTGGCATGCACTCCCGTCTCCTTGTCTCTGATATTCCCAGGTCTCTGCCTCCCCTCCTGCCCTTGCCTACTCCGCCCTGCCTTCCTTGCGTCGAGGGGCGGCAGCTCGCCGCTCCTCACTCCTCCTTGTTTCCCCCGACGTCTGCTCCCCTACAGACTCTCCACATGGACGTGTGGGGCCCCGCTCGCGTCAGTGGACAGGGCTTTCTGCTGGTTGTTGACGACCGCTCTGCCCTTTTCTCGTTTCTTCCCCTACCGCTCTGCCCCTCTCCCCCCCCCGCCGCTCTTCCTTGCTCCAGGTCCCCCTCCGGTAGACCCCCTCCCCCCTCAGGGTCCTGCTCCCTTAGGTGTGTCTCTTGTAGACCCTCTCCTTGGTCCTGCGCCTGTTGAGGTAGCTGTCGGCTTAGGTGCTGCTCGAGGTGCTGCGTCTGGGGGTGCTGCGTCTGGGGGTGCGGAGCCGGGGGGTGCGGAGTCCGAGGGTGCTGGGTCTGGGGGTGAGGAGCCTGGGGGTGCTGAGCCTGAGGGTGCTGAGCCTGGGGGTGCTGAGTCGGAGGGTGCGGAGTCTGGGGGTGCTGATCGTCAGTGTGCTTCTTCGTCTGGAGGTCCTGCTGGTGCTTCGCCGAGACTGTCTCCGCAGCAGCTGCGTGAGTGGCTTGTTCGGCGAGCACGCCTTCGGAGTGGAGCTACCAGAGTTGGAGGCGCTGAAGACGCTGAAACTGGAGGTGCTGGAGCTGGTGGTACTGGAGGTGCTGCGACTGCTGGTCCTGGAGGTGCTCGAACAAGGGGTACTGGAGCTGCCGGGACTGGTGGTGTTCAGTGCGCTAGAGCTGAGGACCCTACGGAGCCTGGAGCTGCTGGAGCTGGAGGCTATGGCGCTGATGGCGCTGGAGCTGGAGGAGCTGGAGATGGTGGCACTAGCGCTGGAGGCGCTGGAGCTGGAGGTGCTGGAGCTGTTGACACTGGAGGCACTATGGGGCCGCGACCGTACTTCGTTCCCCTGCTTCAGCAGGTTCTTGGTGTCCCGTCTTCTACTAGCCTTACTCCTCCCCTCCTGTGTCCACCGCCGGACCAGTCGCAGCTGCCGTTACCGCCGGCCTCCCCACTGCCTGCTCCTTCTCCTTACACAGAGCAGTCTGGTGGTTTTACATAGCATCGTGAGCCTGCGTCTCGTCCTGTCTCGCCTGTTCGCACTGCTCGTCGCGGTCCTCGTTCGCGTCCTCCTCCTATCCCCGGCACGCACGCTATGGCACTTCGTCCTTCCTCTGTTCCACTGCGTGTTCCTCTGCCTGCTCCTCCGGAGTCCTCTCTTCCTAAGGTCCCTGACCCTTAGTCTGACCGCGCTCGTGCTACCAGTCCCACTGTCTCTCGTGCCACTGCTGCCACTGACCCTCCTTTGAGTCCGCTGCTGCGTCTGCCCTCGTTGCTGAGCTGCTTGACTTTGCTGCTGCCTGTCGTCCATACTACGCCAATGCTCTTCTTGTTGAGTCTGCGTCTGCCAGTCCTCCATCTGTTGGGGGTGAGTGTGCTGGATGCCGAGATGGCATCCTGGAAGTCCACAGGCACCTACGTCGACGAGGTTCCCCCACCTGGGGCGAACATAGTCGATGGCATGTGGATTTTCAGGGTGAAGCGGCCGCCGGGTTCTCCGCCTGCCTTCAAGGTGCGTTACGTTGCTCGAGGCTTCAGTCAACGACAAGGGGTTGACTACTTCCAGACCTTCTCCCCCACCCCGAAGATGACTACTCTTCGGGTGTTGCTGCACGTCGTTGCTCAGCGTGACTACGAGTTGCACTCTCTGGACATCAGCACAGCTTTCCTGCAGGGCAGCCCGCACGAGGAGATCTGGCTGCGCCGCCCACCTGGTTTCACTGGGTCGTTTCCTGCAGGTACCCAGTGGAGCCTCCGCCGGCCAGTCTACGGTCTCCGCCAGGCGCCTCGCGAGTGGCACGACACACTGAGGACTACACTTGCGGCTCTTGGGTTTGCTCCTTCTACTGCTGACCCGTCGCTGTTTCTACGCACCGACACCTCGCTGCCGCCGTTCTACGTCCTCGTGTACGTCGACGACCTCGTCTTTGCCACTGCTGAAACAGAGGCACTGACCCTTGTGAAGTCGGAGCTGCAGAAGAGACACACCTGCACTGACCTCTGTGAACTGCGCAGCTATCTTAGCTTGCAGATCACTCGGGACAAAGCACGGCGTACCATCACACTGACTCAGTCACACATGGTGCACCAGGTCCTTCAGTGCTTCGGCTTCCAGTTCTCCTCGCCACAGCCCACTCCTCTGTCTACCAGCCACTCGCTCTCAGCTCCACCTTTGGACGAGTCCGTAGAGCCGAGTGGTCCGTACCCAGAGCTTGTGGGTTGCCTCATGTACCTGATGACGTGCATACGACCTGACCTCGCGTACCCTCTCAGCCTTCTGGCTCGCTACGTGGCTCCCGGTAGGCACCGCAAGGTGCACTGGGATGCTGCGAAGAGGGTACTGCGTTACTTGTGCAGTACGTCGGGCATGGGGCTCGTGCTTGGAGGACGGGGTCCAGTTGTCCTCACCGGTCACGCAGACGCTTCCTGGGTTGACGAATCAGGTACGCAGCGGTCGTCACAGGGTTACACCTTCAGCCTTGGCTCTGGCTCTTTTTCCTGGCGGTCTACCCGCTCGTCTTCGGTTCTCAGCTCCAGTTGTGAGGCTGAGATCTACGCCGGGGCCATGGCTGCACAGGAGCTACGCTGGCTCACCTACCCGCTGACTGACTTGGGAGAGCAGCCTCGTTCGCCTCCAGTTCTGTACATAGACAACAAGGCCATGATTGCCTTGTGTCAGGAGCACAGACTGGAGCACAGAACGAAGCACATCGCTTTGCGATACTTCCTTGCTCGAGAGTTGCAGCATCGCGACGAGCTTCGTCTTGCGTACGTGGCCACTAGGGCCAACACTGCTGATATATTCACCAAGGCACTTCCGCCTGGTGATCATCAGCGCTTCTCTACTGTTTTAGGCCTTGTGCCTACTTTGCCTCACTTGCTTACTGCGTGACTTTGCTTGTACTATGATCTATACATATACCTGCATGCTTGCACTTACTAGGATATGATCACTGTATTGTTTGTTCTCTTTTATATAACCCTGCATGTGAACTGGCCTTGTGGCCCTTTGCTTGTGCTCGGACAGTGTGGTGACTTTGTGATCCACCCTGAGCTTGCTTTGCTTTTCTTGACTGGTCTTGTGACCACTTGTTCTCCCCCACTTTGCCTATGGGGGTGTGTCAAACTTGAATATAGCTTACATTGTATAGGCTGTAGTGGGGTAGCCCATAAGGGGTACAACCCAATTAGGGTTAGTACTTGTACC